ATTCCTGGACCAAAGGTAAATCATCTTGAGTATTGACTTTCTTATAATACTGTATTTGTGCTTATCAAGTTCTAAACTATTCAGTGAAATTATATTAACTTTCTGTTGTGGTAAGAGACAAGCCTTTGGCGGAAAGAATTAAATATATTCTTTTATCAACTCTAGTCCTGTGCTTTTTCATTATTCTTTTGCTACATGATGTGGTTTTCATGATTCCGGGCATTAAATAATACCTAAAAAAGACCATTTCCTTTTAAATTTGTGGAAGTCATTGCTAAAGGAGGCATGTGACATGGATACGTCACTACAGTTTGAAATGAGAGATCTCGTAATAAGAATAGTATTTATAGCTGCCCTAAGTTGATTGAATCACAGAGACTGTCATCTCTATTTACGTACCACCAAATCGCAGCATCAATTCCAATTAAGTTTAAAAAAGTATTGTATGATTGAGACTATGGAATGTTTCAGCAAGAATGTTTGAGTTTAAAGTAATTGAAAAAGAAAACTAGATTGAGATGTGAATTTCTTCTGAAATTTCATGGAATGATATTATCCTTCTGTGATTTGAGAGCAGCAATCAAGTCTATTTGGGATTTGTCAGCACGTAAACAACAAGAGAACTGAAATTTGACTTTTGAAAAATTACATAGAAGGAATTAGGTGAAAGTTAAATGAAAACCAAAATAAAGGTGGAAGTTAAAAAATGAATACAGGCTGATTTTTTTTAGACCTTATTAATTTCCTTATTTTTTATCTTAAAATGGAACAGGAAACCATTGGTTTGGCTAATATTTTTCATCTTTTGCCCACCAGGGTAATAGAGGTCCCCCTGGGGTGCCAGGTTTGATGGGAAATTCTGGTAAACCGGTAAGATCATTAATCTCATTCAAAAGATCTGGAAAAATGAAAAATTTTGCATTGTGCAAAAAATCACTTTTCAAATTTGTTGTGTTCTTCCTATCCCCAAAACAGGGTGAACAAGGGCCAGAGGGAGAAGCAGGTCCAACAGGACCCCGGGGACCACCAGTAAGTATTGAATAAATTTCTGAGTTTATGTAATATTGCAGTGTCTCAAGTTATGGTTGCTGAAGCTAACCATGAGATAAAAATATTATTCAACACAAGTGCTAATTTTTAAGGTAAATACTAGGTGTTCTTTAACACCCTTCTGTACTAGGTGTTTGTGCATCATCACATAGAGAAATCCAGAAGGACATGTCCTATGACTGTTTCTGGCTTTGGTGATAAATTAAATTTTAAACCTTTGTTTATATTCTTCTGGTCTTTGTTTTTAAATATGCTGAGTGAAAGCCCAAACAGAGTGGTTTGTGACAAAAAGCTGGAACCAAACTCCTGTTCTTCCACTGCAACAGTCAACTCCCACAACTGGTGTTGAAAAGCTTAAATTCACTAGCTGCCAGTAGATCACTTTAACTGTTTCAGCCTCTTAAAGAAGCTTGTGCTGTATATTACAAGGCTTAGCTGTATATTACAAGGTTTTGAACTTTGGACTAAGTATTCAGAACATGATTTTTTTTGGCTAGGACCTAGTTCTAATGCACGTAATGTGAACAGTGAGGCAAGGTATGAAGGAAAGGTAGCTGTCTGTCCTACCTAGTAAAGAAAATGGCTAGAGACTGTCCTCAGCCCCCTTGGTCAACTAGCATGGCGTGGTTTGTCTTCATACTGCTAAACTCCCTTAACAAAACCCTCATGTCTAAGAGCAGTCTGGGTGCAGTCAGCTTGCGTATTGGGAACAGTCTCTTGCCTGTGTTCCCAAAACTGTTCTTGGGCATTATCTAGGAAAGCCCAGTTCGCCTGAGACAAAAGCATGCTAACCATTTATCATGGATGATGGCGGGATGCTGCTCGGGCCTGTGCCTTGGCCCTTTCTGGTTGATATTATGAATGTAGCTATAGTGATGTGAAGTATAGCATTTACTTGGGAATGCTGATGTTGTAGTTTCTTTCACTGGAGATTTTCCTTAACACTAGAAAGATTCAGAAGACTGGAGAAAGCATTGCTGGGCAGGTAGCTTGCTGCAGGAAATAAATGTGCCGAGGAAATTGAACTGGTGGCATTTGCTAAGGCTCAGTGTTGAAAACAAAGGACAACCGTTCCTGAGGCATGCTTGGGGTACTAGAGAGTCTGCTGGGTACAGATTTCTGATTCCCTCTGGAGTGGACCTGGCATGGATTGAAGTTACATAAGTCTGATCTAATTTCCCTTTGCTGTTAATCCTTCTGTGAGGGATGAGAGGGTCAGTGATGCGAAGAAAATTTTCGTATGCCAAAATTCAGTCTGACGACATTGACAAGACTCCAGGCTCTGTAACCAATTGCTTTTGCAAGCTTCACTCTTGCCACTGATACTGTAGGGATACTTCCTTGGAATTTTCTGAGCTTCTGCTATCATACAGTGACATAAGAGTTTTACTCATGCAGTTGTAGGGTTATCCTCATACAGGGCTTAGAGAGTTACTGATAGGGATATATTTGTAAGGGTATTTCATGGGTCAGGAATATCTTCTCTGAATTAACTCTTAAACATACAGCGGCAGTCAGCCAAATAACAGATTTTGTTTTCTTCTATTTTCTTCTGTGGTTTGTGTTATCATGTGCTAGATGCATTAATTCATGAGATCACATTTATTTTAGACTGAATCTTTGTATGAGTGCTGTGTCCACAGCTGCCTATAAATGGTATGAAAAGGGGATTACATAAATATATACTTACTAGGATGGAATACAGGTATCTTCAGCCTCCCATATAGCCAGCTTGCAAACATTTCTGTTGTTTGTGTTTAAAAGTGTTGGGTGCACTAGAAAAAGTTTTCAGCCCTGTTCTTCTTGAGCTGATTTTTTGTATACTTGTAACAGGAATAAGAATTATAATTGAATCAGACCAAAGTAATTGCCCACTCTGATAATGCACTGTAATCTGCTAAACTATGCTTTTAATCCTTTCAATGTGAACATGAATTTACAAAATCAGCAGTCCATAGAACAGGAGTTGACACGCAAGGTTAATTATTAGTAACCCTGTAGTCGGACAGAAATACTTAATGCAGATTAAATACAATGATTTTTCTGTTTATCACTCTAGAGACCAGCAAGACATCTGGATATCTTGCCTTTATTTTCTCTGTCTTTACAAAGTACACTCATTTTGGAAAACATGTAAATATTAGAACAAAAGCATAGAAAGAAAAAACTTTTCATCAATATAAGATGGAGAAAGGAAGTAAATTTTTGATAATAAAGTAAGTTTGCATGTAGAACATTAAACAGTAATCTATTTCTCATCTATAGTTCCTTTAAAGCCATAAAAAAGCCTTGAATAATAACTATGTTTATCTTCCTTCTGCTCAAGACTACAAGCAGCATATGAGTGGAATGGCTTTCCATTTTCTTTTTGGGAACACCAGAAAAAACATTACTTCTACACAGAAAACTGGAATGATCGGGATTTTTTGTTCAGGAAGGACACAGGGTTGGATTATTGAACCTCAGTGAGCTTTGGTCGAAGCTGAGTCTGTATTTATTTTCAGGGCAGAATGAAGAGTATTTTCTCTTTCTTCTGCAGCATGTACATGTAGTAGATACATTTGAGCCTCAGTTTTTAGGACTCTGCCCTTACCTTTCCAGGGAAAAAAAAAATCAGCTGGTTAAATAATTCTACACACCATGATTTTCAAACTTCTAAACCTAGAAATTTTGAAAATAAGTTGAGAAAAGCTTTTATAATTGCTCTAAAGAGAATTTTTCTTGTGAATATTTTTGTATTTTTTTCAGATTTTGAAACTTTCTCACAACTTTAACATTTGACAGTTTTTGACCGAAGTTTTATAACCAAACACTTCTAAAGCCTGAGGATTTTATGGTTACTATTCAGGTGTTTTTCTTGTCCTTTTCTTTCCTATTTTGAATTATCCTCTTTAGCACCCAGCTCAGTTCTTTTCTCTCTCCTTTACCCTTTGTTCCATTTTACTCTTGGTAATAGAATACTCAGGTAAAAGTCAAGAGGGGCTGGGTTTCTTCCCTGGAGTTGGAAAAAATGTCGATGTTTTGCAGGATATGGAGAACTTCAGTCCCTTAATGTACTGCTGCATGGCAGCAGCCACATGAGAGATCCTCTTCACTTTTCCATTTCACTTACCCCTGTTCTTCGTGTCACTACTGGGTAAAGACAGTGTGACTGGTAGCTCCAGGAGGGCCAGCACTGTAGAGGAAAGGACCTCCAGTGAAGGTTTGTGGGGGGATAACAAGGCTGACTCTGCTAATATGGACAGCAGGCTGGTGTCTGCACTAGGGAAAAATAATATGCCTACATTTGTGTTATATTAAAAATCGCCTGACTTTTCAGCTTTAGCTACTTTAGCAAAAGACATCTTTTTGAGACAAAATTTTCACTTCAGCTAGTGTGTAGTTTTTTGAGGAGTTACACAATGGAGTGCTATTAAGCATCAGTGACTCTGTGGGACAAATTAATACTTCTATACTGTTTACCAAATAGCGTGTAGCATCCTCTGGCATAAACCATGTTATTTCAATGTTATTTTCATTATTAAACAACTGTTGGAATGTAGTTGGAACAGTATTATTACTAAGCAGCAGATTCAAATTTTGGCCTTTTGCGAGTCTGTAAACATTTACAGTTTCACAGGGAAGATATTAAATGGTTGAAAACAAGATAACTAGCTCTAATTAAAAATAGGCAAAGTCATGTGTTGGGAGACTCTTACCTCACTGCTGGCAAATCTCCCTAGGAGAAAATTACTTTCAAAAGTACCATTTTAGCTACCATTGCTTTTCCTTAGAAAATTTCAGTTGGCACCTGAGCGGAAAAAAAAGTTTTACTTTTGTTTATTTAGTTTATTATTAATCTGTTCAGTAAAGCAGAAAAGCAGCTGGAGCAACATGGAAATTTTGTCTTTTGTTTCTAAATCAAACATATTCTCCATTCCACTCTAATTGTTTTGTCAGTTAACTTTATGTTTGCTTCACTTTATGCTAGCCAATCCACATAATTACCAAACTCATTCGTGATTTAAACCTTTCTAAGCATCATGGCAGGTGGCCCAGAGGAAGAAATTCTGAAACATCAGTGTCATTCTTAATCAGTGGAATTTAGCCATGTTCCCTAAGCTGCTTAACTATTTCCTTTCATATTTGCTGAGTTAGTAAGATTTAATTTTTCATATTGCATCTGCAGAAAATACTGACCCCTGCCCCTGCTTTTTTCATCCCTTGTTGTTCTTCAGCTATTTAACCTTTAAATTGCTAGTCTTTGGAGAACATGTATCCCATCTTGTGGTTCTGCAGTGAAAAGAGATCTTCGAACATTCAAGTAACCATTTAACTTAAAGTTCAATACTTGCCTAGCAAATTGAGCAAACTCTTGATGTATATGCAGGCCAGCATATATATGTTGTTAAGGATTTAGGATGCAATACATGTTTTCCTAACATTAGCAACAGAGGTTAAGTACCTAGCTGCCTAAGATTTGATACTGTAGCCCCCTCTGAGAGACTTCTGAGGGGCTCAGGTTGGTTGGGCTGACTTGCTATCTGGAGGTGCCTTTGTCTCTCTGTTCATTATAAACAGGGAGCCTGGAGAGTACCTTGGATTTGGTACTAAAATGTCCGACAACCTAAAGTTAGATGAGAATACTGTTTTCAGCATCTTAAATTACTTTCAGGTATATAATTTTCTGAGTCTTTAAAGATATTTTTGTCTTACCTACTCTGAAATATATCTTTGGTAACCCTAACAATTATAACTAAAATCTAGTTTTTCTATTATATTCTTTTTACATGACTCCAACTGAAATAATGGGTCATTTTCCATAGTTGGTATTGGTGTAGTGGTATTGGTAGTGTGATGGGATGAAATGTCCTTGCCTCAGTTTATATGATATGCTTAAGTATTAGTGGACACATTTTGTACATATAATTTCAGAGGTGTTCCACAAGTGGTGAGTCATAGTTTACATTTAAGGTACAGCTAAAGGAGTTAGCATTGCACAGTCTATAGCAGAGTCAAAAGAACAATTTTCATCCTGCCAGGTATGCTTTTTATCCAATAAACCTAAGCCTCTAGATGGATGTGACTAAACTTTCTGACCTTGCACAATTCTGCAGCATGGTTTATACACGGTAGCACTTTCTCCTCTCTCACTCACAGACTACATATCCCAGGCAAACCTGATTAGTATCTCCAAGCCTTTCCAGTTCTCGTACTACCCACCCCGTCTTTCTAAACTGCATGGTCAGATTCCTCTCTGCTACCTCACTCTTTACCCCTCCACCTCCAACAACAGCTTCCTTTGACTTTTGGGCGTGCTAGACCTCTGGATGTCAGCAGATACCTCGATGTTCACTTCTCCTAAGCAGTGTAGACAGTTATCTGGGTAAAACACTCATTATGGAGTTAGTGTACTAAAGCTGTCCTAGACTTCAGTTAACACTATAGATGCAGCTGGTATGAAAGGTCTTTGTCCTTTATACTTGGCCACAGTATCACCCTTGAAAAAAACGGCAGCTACTGGGCTGCTGCTTGTGCCCGAAGCATGACACAGTTAAGAGGAAGGTACGTTTCATGCCACACCTATCTCTTACCATTACCCTGAGCAGTACAATTTAACTATTACTCTAAGAAAGGTGCATTTAAAATCTCAGAGAAAGTTTGCTGTATATTTACTCTTCTAGCAAATAATAGTTTATATTTTTGAATGCTTTTTAGTACTGTACTGAAGGTCAAAGGAAGAGTCCTGTTGATGCTTCCATGGATAAGTCCTTGAACTTAAATTAAGAATTCCTCTGAGATTTTGGATGAAAAAAAAATTGTGATAAGTTAACGTCTCACAAACATATAATTAACAAATGTGTTACATTTTGCAAAAAACTTTGGAGTACTAAGTTTATAAAAGTTCATTCCAAAATGTACTTTGTGTATTCTTTTTTATTCTGCACAGATTTAATGCTCTATGGCATTGCTACTGAATGTACTAAAAATTGGTATGATACATATTATAAAAACAAAATTATTAAGTAGAGAAGAGTTTATTACAGTATACACTGTGAATTACCTGTCAAGAGATTCTAATTAGTGTTTCGATTATCTGGGCAGTTAAGTGAGATGCAAATTACCTGGGGAATATTCTCATTCTTGTTATTGTTCCACTAGCAGAGGCATCCTTAACAGGATCAGTTGTTCAACAGGAAATCAATAGACCAGTGAAAGAAACTGTTTTAGCATGAGAATGCATTCTGTAACTGCTTGTGGGAATTCTACAAAAGAATCAAGGCTTCAAAATTTCAGTGAGGATGAAAACCATCCCAGACAACGTGAAGGAAGGTCTACTGTAAATCCTGTAACATCCCCTTACGTACTTTACATTCAAAGGCTAAATATAGATCTAACAGAACTGTGAGAGAGACATTACATCTTCATTTAAATGTATTGAGTAGTCCAGCAATCCTACCTTGCAACAAAGGGAAGGTAGATTTTGTTGTAACCAGTCTAGCACATCAGCTGTGGAAGGGCTGCATCCTGGTATTGTTCAGTATTGTGGTGCCGTACCAGCAATTCACATCCTATCATTTCACATGTGCCTTGCCGTCCTTTGAGAGAATGACCTTATCCTCAGCAGTACTCACATGCTAAGCGATAGCGTACTTAACAGAAATCAATTATTTGTACTGTTAAAGTATTGGAGCAGTCCTGGACATGCTTTTGGTCCACACTGTCTAACATCCTTGACAGAAACAATCTTTAGGCAGTGGCCCAGCTTTAGAGTACTTCAGGGGCCATTTGCAGTGGGAGACTGTATGTTGCCTCCCTTCATTGTAGACCAGGAAAGTTTACCAGTATGGGTGCAAGCCAGTCTGTCCCAGCTCACTCTAAACTAGAAGAGCTACTTTCCCTCTTCAAGCTTTCCACCTCTGGGAAAAGAAGTGTTTCAAAAGTGCATAAAACATACAGATTCTGGTCTTTTTTTTATTAAAACCAGTGCAACATGCCCATTGATTTGTGAGTGGCCTGCAACTATGGACTGTGTTATATATAGGGCTGCCGTGTAAGAAAGGTAAGTTGAGGACGTGGCCAAACTGCCTTCTGTTCTGATTATTGCCTATGAGTAACTTAGAGCACAAAGGAAGGTTTCATCTGACCAAGTACAGATGTCAACACCTGAACCAGTTATTACAGAAACCCTCTTATAGGCCTTGGGGAAAACGTAGATGCTTCTAGGACATGACTTGTGATGTATTTAAAATGTTTACATTAGGACATTTCCAGATGCTTTTTTTTCTTCATCCCCTATGAAGGGAACCAAGAGTAACTAGCTCAATGTAAATCCTATCCTAGGGCCATTTCAGTCAGCAAATAACTTGGAGAAAGCTTCACAGTCTTTTAAATAATTCCATGGACCAATGGGATTCCTGATTGTTGTTTGGGTTACAGTTCTCCTCTTACTTACTAAAACACAACTTCTGCAGAACTTGCAGTGGTGGCCCTTAGTTTGAAGTAATCTGTCCTTACAGACATAATGTCAGTGTCTATGGGAAATACTATCTTTTTGTATTCCAGTCTTCTGTATAGTAACCTGCTTTTTTACCACCTTAGAAAAGCATTGGTGTTTGAAAAAGCACCTGTAGTGTATATTTGACAAAAGATTTTTTAGCATTTAAAATAAAATAGAAGATTTTTCTTGCATTCTGTATGACCAACAGAACCTTTGATGTGCTTAAGAGGTTTATTATATGATTTTTACTCTATGGAAAGTGATATTGCGTTTGTTTTATAGCTGTATAGCAATCAGGCATGAATGTTATGACATATACAAGGAGATGAGTTTCTAATACCGATCATAATTTTAATTTTTCTCTTTCCTGCATCAGAAATGTAGTAGTATTCCAGGTCAGAGATGTAGTACAGAATTATGTGATTAAATTACAGATTTCCAAAAAGGTTAATGCATCTTCTGGGTTGTAAGATGAAGGTGATTTGGTTTTTTTGCTTTTTTTTTTTTCTTTTCAACATGAAAAAGCTTCTAGAAATTATACAAAGTGCTTTAAAAGGATAGTGATTTTAACACCATAGGATATTTTGAAGGAAATGAATGGAAAAGTTTGTTTATGTTTGGTTCTCTGATCTCTCCGGGATACTTAATTATTTCTTCAACTGTAGAGTTAGTTTTCCTAAGCTTGTGTGAGAAGTTGTCATTGCATTTATGACCTGGTGTAAAAGGCCATGTCTGCCATCTCCTTTTATTGTTCAGTATGTCACAATATTTCACAATATTTTTCTAATTATGAAGAAAATATCTATATTTAAAATTATCTGGAAGTTTCACTATTTTTAATGCACATGATATTTTTGCACTAATAAACAGAAGTCTTGATTAAAGCCAACTGCTAAGTAGTGTAATTCACTAAACATTAAGAATAAAAAAATCCTGTTTGCAGGAAATATTTCAGGAAGTAATGATGTCCTTCTATTTCCTATAAGGGTAGCAGAGGGGAGCCAGGTCCAGCGGGTCCTCCAGGTTTACCAGGGAAATGGGTAAGCAGTTTATTTCCATATTCAGTGTTTGTGTTTACTTTCAAGGAGCTATGGTATCATCTGGAACTACACTTACCCATTTATCCATGCAGGGAACTGAAAATAACATTGAAACGAGTGATTGTTGAGTTTCTTTTTCAGTCCTCTGTGACTGTGCTAATATTGGCAAATGCTGTTTTAAAGTATATGAAGATGTGTGGGGCTTTTTCTTCTGTTTAAGAAAACATAAATCCTGTGATGTGCAAAGTTGGGTTGCACACTCCTGTGTGGGCTGCGTGTACTCGGGGAACAGGAGCAGTGAAAGACTGGCTTTCTGCTAACAGCTATGTGAAGCTAATGAATGGACCAGATTATGAATACCACCTTTTACCAGTGCTCCAGCAGTATTTACACAGTAACAGTCAGAAGCATAGCTGGGGAGGTTTTGGCTGAAAGAGCTTGCTGTTACAGAGGAATGTGCAAATCACAGAGTGCAAGATCTTAGGAAGAGAACCAGACTGTTGTTGAGGGACTGGAGGGTGGAAAGCACTGTAAGCCATTTCTGTTGTGTTTGTCAGCAATAAAATCATAATAAGATGCTATTTAAAGGGCTGTATTTTGGATCAGCTCTGTTTTCATCAGATAATCCTCTTTCATTAAGTTAGGATTGTTCTGGGAATAAGATTCTGCCCCATCTGCTTGTCAGGGTATGACCCTTAGTTGTTCATTCTAAAACAGATTGTGTAAGTCTACATCCTTGACTTATTTTCACAGGGTCCCCAGGGTGATATTGGACTTCCTGGACTGCCAGGTCCTCCAGGCCTACCTGGTGGTAAGGGTGACCGGGTAAGAAATACACTCATACACACAGACTGCAGTTTGACGTCAGGACTAAATACAATAATTTGAGCATTGTTTGCAGTTTTTACATGAATCAATGTCTGGTTTCTTGTTTTGTATGTAGATCTGTTAACTGCTTGAAAGTGGTGCTCTAGGTGCCCATTAAATACTTGTAGCTCATAATATATACAGGAAAAATCTTGACAGTGTTACTTAAGGGACTGAAATGAGATTACTGGTGTAAATATTTCCTTTTTTTTTTGAGTTTGAATCAATTTAAGGCCTAAATCATATTGCAAATCACTGATTCAGCCAGATTGAAATTGTAAGTCAGGGTCTCTGGTCACTAAAGAGCTTTGGAACTTCAGCCCTGGTCTACAGTAGATACAATGCCTTTTACATAGGTCTTAGGACCTGCTATGGAAATGCACAGGCTAATGCAGCTATTGAGACACCTATGCATACACGCAGAGTTACAGGGTATAAATATCTCTTCTAGTCTTTTGTTAGGAGGGAAGAACTGGGCCCTGGGGATCTCGCATACCTGCAGAAGATACCTTGCTTTGCTGAATAAATGTCAGTGAAGACTGTATATAAAAAAAAAAATGTTCCTTATCTTCTCTTGCTTATAGGAGGCTACAGAGGACAGAATTCACTCACCAAACTTTGGATATTTCTGTTATAGAAATAGTCAGTTCTGCACTGTTTCATCCTTTTTACTTGAGACATCTACTTCAGTATTAAATCAGTTGTGCTTTTGAAGTGCCTCTTACTTTCCACTGACAATCAAGGAAGTATAGAACTGTTAGTGAGACATAGGTATCACTGCTGTAGATGTCTTTAGTTGAACAGAGGAATCCTGGCCCTGGTATGCTCCCAGTATACATCATAGGGTGGCTAGATAGGGCTTGCAGTTGTTTTTGGCAATTTTTAAAAGCTGCTCATGTACTTAAAAACAAGTTTCTAAGACAGTCGTTGTTGTTGAGATATTTCTTCACGTGTTTGTTTTTGTTTGGTTGTGGGTTTTTTTTTTAATGCTAAGATCAGGAACATATGTTTCTAGTCAAATGTAAGTATTGACATAAAGCAATCTCTTTTTATTAGATTGGTAATGATTCATACTTTAGACTTCTCCAGAGGGAGATTGAAGGTACCTGAGGAAGCAAATCTGGAAGGAAAATAAGTAGTATTTGTTGCAGTGCTGACAATCTCCCTCCAAATATGCCTGATTTTCCTCATTTACTGTATAAAGGGTCTGGACCTCTAGGACAAGAGCAGAATGTAGATGCTGTAAACAGACCCAGTGAGATTCAGGTTATACCCAGGAGGTTTCTGTTTATATAACTGGCAGATGACAGTATCTTATGTGTGGAGCTTTTTTTAAATCCTAGGATCAGTTTAATGCCCTGTGCGAATGCCTTAAAGTCCAAAAAGTTATTATCTCATCCTGTGATTGCTTTTTAGATTTCCTGTTTTGAGACAAGTGTCGACTGGATCCACTTGTATCCTTGATTCATTTTTTGTCTTCAGTCGCATAGAGGCTGGAGTGAATTTTCTGGGGCAGGCTTCACATTGCTGCAGCTTTGCCAGTAGCACGGCTCTGCAGTATGTATTCCAAGTCACTGGAGAGCACTGTGCCACTCTATCCTTTCTTTCTCTTTCACTTTACTTCTTTTGGAGCCTGAAACTACCGCTAGTTTGGTTAAGGGGTCGAGCGCATCCGTCACACTCCACCCCGTGACTACAGTCAATCCACTTTATTGACTCATAGGGTAGTAGTACGGTTACCTCTTGCCTCTATGTCATAAATATGTGGCGTACTGCAGATCAGTGGTAAGGGTACAATTATCTGATGAGTTGCTTAGATTAAGTGTTACAATTAATGCTAATTATATACCATTGCACATACAGAATCAGTTGATTGCATATGTTTTATATGTTGGATTAACACAATTTGTTTCATTATTCGCCAAACTTTGATATACAGAATGATTATGAGCAATAAACACAATAAAGTCAGAACTAACAAAACTACAACTGGATATAAAATCAAATTCAAAGCTCCAGCTGATGTTGGTGAGCATCCAAGGAGAGTTTCCCACCAGTGATGTTCTCCATCTTTCTTCACTCTTTCTAGGACGCAGTGTATCTGCTCTGTGTCACGATAGATGGTAATCAGGGTTCTTTGTCTGTTGTTTCGAATTCATTTTAGCAATTTACACAGGTCAGCATGTTGCAACAGTTTTCTTACCAATGCGAGATTCATTCCAATGAGGGTAGGTAATAAATCTTGATACAATGTATAGTTAGATTGTAACAATTGGTGGGATGTGACAGGAGCTGAGTATGAATGACAAACATTTTGTTCAGTGTCAAGACAAATATCCGGGCCTTAATGGTATTACTTTCACAAATAAATCCTTGTTGTTCCCGTACAACACATTTGTCAACATCAACAGTTTGCCATTTGTTCCCATTTTGTTGGGCTCATACTCCATGTTCTAATGGGTAGAGTACAGTTCCACTGTGATTTAATCCCAGCGCAATGGTTGGGTATATGGTGTATACTGAAGCATTGCGTATTGTTAAAACAAAAGCTGTGGCTTTACTGTCAGTGGGGTCATAAGTGAGATTGACTAGATACCACCGAGACTGGAAATCCTTTTTGAACTGAGTCGCATTTTCTCAAATTACCTTTAGAATCTCAGTGGGCAAAGGGCCCTCATCGCCTTTTCTTATAATTGCTGCTACAGTAGATTGCACGCATAACTGAGCTTGGATACAGCTAAGAGCTAGAGAGACGTTATTCTGGGTAACGCCAAGCGCATCTACAATTAGTTGGAGGTCTTTCTCATTAATTCTTTCCCATTTAGGCAATATATCAAGTAAGAGCCATTGAGTAGTTCCCAGTGGCAGCAAAGAAGATTGAAATGGATGTTCTAGTTTACGCAAATCACTTGTGGCCGAGCTTAATATGTTTGCTAAAACTTCAGCATCTATGCTGTTTAATACTCCTAATCCTATTCCCAGAACACCAGCCACATCTCTCCTTGTTCGTTTTGGAGAGGTGAGGGTTCGCCTGTGCAACCATACTAACCATCCTGTATAGGATGTATTTAGGAATGGTGAGCAGGTAGGTTTAACTGCAGAGATATTAACCTGCATTGGTAGTTCCACTCATTTGAGGGACCATGATGGATTAAATAGCACTTGTTGCTGGCCTGTATATTTAATAGCATAGGGTCCAATTTCAGAAGTCAGTGGATATGTAGTTTGATTCGTTGTGGGAGTAATAAAATGGGGAGTGGGTTAATAGGCAGTAGGGGTAGCTGTTGGTGTAGTGTGAGGCCTGGGAATAGGTGTTAGTCTGACCTTTAAGGATAGTCCATTTCCGTTATCTTTCCCTTTATCTGTCCACAGGCATACTGCTTTCATAATTGTGTCATTAAAGAGGAAATTAATTATACAATCGGGGCGTGAGAAACAGTTTGCTCTGCCTTTTGACTGAGTTTGATTTGTCCGTTTGATGACCATGTAGATGTTTCCCTTTGAATAATTTGTTACATTACATTCAATAGAGATTTTGTCACCTGGTGTAGCAGAAATAAGGTGACTTTTGTTTGCTTTTACCATGGTGTGATTACCAGTGAATGTCATTGTTAGGTTTTGTCTTGGTTTTCCTATTATTCCTGTATTCCCATCAATTTTAAACATGTATGGCACACAATGTGCTATAGTTACTGTATTGATTAGCATAAACAAAAGAATTAGAGATTTCCATCCCGTGCGTTGGGTTTGTGGATGTGTGAACCAAATTTGGTCCATGCTGGCGATGGTTACTCCTGTGGGAAGGATAAGCAATCCTCCGACGGTTAGCCTGATCTCCAGGGAAGGTGTGCCAGTATCGTTCCTGGTATTGTTCCTGAAAAGAAAAAAAAAAACCAAACCACATGTCTCAGCAGGATTTTTGTGGACTGGTTACCCTTTCTAGTTAGTGGTTAGGATGTATCCACCTAGTGCCAATATGATGTTTAGCTCCATTGCTGTCTTCTGCTTCCCAGGCCAAAGGGCCACAGGCTTTTGTTAGTGTTATTGAGACAGTGCCAATTTGTGGTAAATCTACCATAATGGGTTGCCCCGGTTGAAGGGCAATGGGGTACATTTTTACATCTGATGGAGGTGCTCCCTAAGGTGCTGACAGAAAGAATGCACGAGTGACCAGGCTCCCTGTTAGTCTGTATCAGTTATTCAATTGGTGAATCACTTTGTGCAATCGAGTATCCAAGTGCGGCTTGTGTGGTTTAAGACTGCTTTTTAATAGACCATTTGCTCTTTCTATTATCCTGTTTGATTGGGGATAGCAAAGGGTCTTCCTTTTCCTGCTCTTTGTTGCTGGAGAAATGTGAGCCATTGTTACTTTTGATGACATCAGGGGCTGGTAGACCTGAAAACCAAGAGGATAACCCCCTGATGGTGTTCTGACTATTAGCCTTCCGACCGTTTGATGACCACGTAGATGTTTCCCTTTGAATAATTTGTTACGTTACATTCAATAGAGATTTTGTCACCTGGTGTAGCAGAAATAAGGTGACTTTTATTTGGTCACCATAGTTAGGCCTGAGACAACTTCTACTCCCGTGAGGATGTACCGATATCCCGGGGACGGTTTAAAGGGTCCAATGTCATCAATTTGCCTCGTTGACCATAGCGTTTTTCATTTATTGACATGTAGGGGTGGTGCTTTAGCAGGGTGATCTGTTTGCAATTTCAATTTACATTGGGGGCATTCTGTAAGGATGATTTCACATGTCTTCCTGTCTAGAGGCCAACCTTGGCCTTGAGATGCAAAATAAAGTGCTTCTCAGGCTGTATGGCCTAATTTCTGATGCAACCATTCTCCCAGTCGGTACCATTTGGGATTTGGCGTTGTCTCCTGTTTTTGTTCTCCTAGTTCTGGCTAATTCATCTACTTGTTGGTTCCATTTTGATGCTGGCTGGTCATTTTT